TTTTTTTTTTGAGACGGAGTCTTACTGTGTCACCTAGGCTGGAGTGCAGTGGCTCATTCTCAGCTCGCTGCAACTTGTGCTCCTGAGTTCAAGCGATTCTCCTGCCTCAGCCTGCAGAGTAGCTGGGATTGGGATTACACGAACCCGCCACCACGCCCAGCTAATATTTTGTATTTTTAGTAGAGACGGGGTTTCACCGTGTTAACCAGGTTGGTGTTGACCTCCTGACCTCGTGATCTGCCTCCTTTGATCTCCCAAAGTGTTGGGATTACAGGCGTGAGCCACCGTGCCCAGCCAGAAGAGTCATATCTTAAGTGAAGATGGCTTTAAATAGTGTTTCTCAGGATAATCAAGAAAGCTAAAAAGGACTTTTCAGCCCCAAAGAAAAGAGTATATAAAGACATCACTCAGTATCTGAACATTAGACACCATTGTTCAAAGTTACTGTTTTTTTTAAGTTTTAGTTTTCTAATAGATATTAATGCAGCTGAGTTAACAAGCAATAGTGAGATCAGTGTCATTTTGTAATCATATACCTCATATGCTGTGGGATGTGGAAAGCTATCCAAACTTCAGAATGCTTATTATGAATTAATACAAAAGCTGTCTTTAAGTACTTCCAGTAGGATTAACAAATCATGTGCTGTTGTAGGGTGTTGTGTTTGTGTACACTAATGTCAGTATGGGTGAAGTTAATGAACAGCTAAGATCCATAGCCCAAGTGATGTCAAAATGTAAATTTTGAAAAATAAAACTTTAAAGGCATTCATATATCTTCTTAATTAAATATGGCAATTATCACCTCAATTTATTACATTATGTTGGCAGAATTTTGGAAAAATTCATCCTTTCAGAGCTAACATTTTGATTTCCCTTTGATATATTCATGATTTTTATGTTTCAAAAGCAGTTTCTATTCTCAAGAAACTTTTTGAAACTGTAAACATCTTTGCCTTGTAAGATTGAGCAGTTAATGATATATTGTAGTCATATCTCTTTGTTACACATCAGTGCTCCCTTGTAAATTGGAGAGACCTTTTGAGCCAGTGGGTTTAGGAATGCACTCTAGCCCCTGTCTAAAGGTCTTTTGAGAGAAGCACTTAGAGGAAAGATAGTCCCCCCTGAGTGTGAACACATCTACCTTTTCTTATGCTTAAGAATATGGTTCTTGGGCTGGGCACAGTGGCTCACATCTGTAATCCCAGCACTTTGAGAGGCTGAGGCAGGTGGATCACCTAAGGTCAGGAGTTCAAGACCAGCCTGGTCAACATGGTGAAACCCCGTCTCGACTAAAAATACAAAAATTAGCTGGGTGCCTATAATCTTAGCTACTTAGGAGGCTGAAGCAGGAGAATCACCTGAACTTGGGAGGCAGAGGTTGCAGTGAGCTGAGATTGTGGCATTGCAGTCCAGCCTGGGTGACAAAAATGAAACTTTGTCTCAAAAAAAAAAAAAAGCTGGGCGCAGTGGCACACACCTGTAATCCCAGCACTTTGGAAGGCCAAGGCAGGTGGATCACGAGGTCAGGAGTTCAAGACCACCCTGGCCAACATGGTATGAAACCCCATCTCTACTAAAAATATAAAAATTAGGCATGGTGGCACATGCCTGTAATCCCAGTGACTCGGGAGACTATGGCAGGAGAATAGGCTTGAACCCGGGAGGTAGAGGTTGCAGTGAGCCGAGATTGTGTCATTGCACTCCAGCCTGGGTGACAAGAGCAAGACTCCATGTCAAAAAAAGAAAAAGAATATGGTTCTTAATGTCTGTGGTTTGCTAGTATCTATGAGATCAAGTTTAACTCTGCAACTGGCTCGTGGTCTGTCATCAGTAGCTTTCTCACTCACTGGTTCCAGTTAAGCCAATTACTCTTCCATTAGCTAAGTGCACTCTGCTGCCTTGTTGCTCTTACTCTGCTCACAAGCTTTTCCCCATAGTGAAAACCTTGCTGATCCCCTTTCTTACCAGTAAAGATTCTTCATTTCTCTTTTAAGACTTAGGGCAAGATTTATTCCTAAGTGCCCTTGTAAGAATTCTTGAGGCAGGGCACAGTGGCTCACACCTGTAATCTAGACACTTAGGGGCTGAGGCAGGCCAATCACCTGAGGTCAGGAATTAGAGACCAGCCTCCCCAATATGGTGAAAACCTGTCTCTACTAAAAATAGAAAACTTAGCTGGGCATGGTGGCCTGTACCCATAGTCTCGGCTACTCAGGAGGCTGAGGTGGGAGGATGGCCCACGTCTGGGAAGCAGAGGTTCAGTGAGCTGAGATCATGCTATTACACTCTAGCCTGGGTGACACAGTGAGACTCTGCCTCAAAAAAAAAAAAAAAAAAAAATTAAAGAATTCTTGAAATTTCCCAGAAATAGAAATAAGTCTGCTCTATAAGGGTGTCTTAACTCAGTAGCCCATGTAATTCCAATTTAGGTGGTCAAAAATATGATGTGGGATTACTTTTGTTTCTGGGCAAGTAATTGCTTCAATCTGTATAGAAATTACAGCATAAATATTTTGCAGCTATTGAATAATGTATAGTTCCCATTCCTTATGGGTAGTAATGAATAGACACTCGGGTCAGTGACTGGCTTAATGAATGATAAAGCCCACAGTATTGCGGTTGAGGATATTGTACTGCATCATTACCTCTCAATAGTGAAGAGGTTCATTGGTTCACAGTTTTAGTTAACAAGAACAAAATAATACCACTGTTCGGAGCCATGTGAAACAATTGCCAACAATAATTTTTTCCCTGAATTTAGTAAAAATAAAGTATTTGGCCTTTTTCCCTTCACACTGTCTTTCATGTTAGCACACTCTAGAAAGCTGTTTCAAAACCCTGTTAACACTTTTTCTAACGTCTTTCTCTTTGAAGTTCTAATATTAAATAAATCAGGTTTATTTGAATGTTTTCCTCTGAATATATTTTATATTTTATTTTCAATGGGTTAAAACTTACACAAGTTGAAAACTTTGCGTAAGAGGGAGGATTTACCCTCATACTCCGCATACTTTTAATTGATTATTTCATTTGTTTTTTTTAAACTTGCCTCTTCCTTGTTATTTGAACAGTGCCATAATAACTTTGAGTCCCTGATTAAGTAATACAGATTACAAAAAACCTAACTTCAGACGTCTTTTAGATGGAGTGTAGAATCCTAGGATAATGCTGGGAACACCAAACTGCCATCCTGTTTTAGATGTGACTTTTCAGAGTTTAAAATGATCATATTATATAACTGTCCCAAAATCTATGGGTATACTTTTTTAATCAAAAAAGTTGTTCTGAAGTTAAAACTTCTTTGGTAAATGGCATGAACATTAAAAATATAAAGCATTGGCTCAGTGTTTTAATGACTCCAGAAATAATGAAATGTTCTATGACAGTTTAAAGCTGTGTTGGAAAATGGGGTATGGCCAGACCCCTATCTTAAACAGTCGGAAGAAATGGCACTTTTTTTTCTATTTTTAGAATTGGTGACATAAACCGCTATCAGTAAGACAAACTATTAGAAGACATGTATTTTTAGAGTTCTTTTGCATTTCTAAATTTGGATTTCCAGTTCACTATGTTAACCTTACTTAAACAAATTGATTACCACCCTCCCCACAAAAAGCCTGTTATCCTATGCCATCTATTATCCAGAAACAGATATACTCTTATATAATGCAGTATTTGCTAAAGACAGAATTGCTTTAAGAAAGTAACATTGACTAGGTAGTTAGCTCCTTAAGTCATTAGTTCTTATGTTAATTATTGTGTATATGCAATGAACATAATATGTTTCATTGGGTTCAGTAAGGAAGATAAATAAATTATTGTTGATAAAGGAAATTGCTAGACATGGGATAGGAAAATTACATATATTTATATAAGAAAACAGGCCAGCCCTTTCTCCCCTTCTTAACATACGTCTTTGTAGTTCAATCTAGCCAAAAAACAGCAACCTCTACCTCCCACACAAACACACAGGGCAAATGTACACACACTCGAATAACGAAGGTTTCAGGAGGCAGATCTTAGAAGTGACATGGAAGTTTTAGAATGTATCCTACTCTGGGCTTTACCTACTCAGATTTTGAAGGAGAGTGACCATGAACTTAGACAGCTGAAAAAGACTTTCTCCTATAAGGTGTCCTGCTTCTAGGGAGGAACAGGCAAAGCATGTGTTTCCATTGTGAGTAAACTTTGTAATTCCTTGTATTCTTAGCAAAGGATTGTAAATGTGAAAGTGAAGTTACCGCAGGAAATGAAAAATTTTAGATGTAAAACAGTGAAAATTTGTTTCAGGCTTATCTAGACATTTTGCTAGTTACTTTAAAAAAATAATCTTAATATGGATAAGCATGAGCTCGAATTAATCTGAATTTTTAATCAAAAATACATTTTATGTAAAGTCTCCATTTTATTACACTTAATAAGCCTATATACATCTTATACCTGTGTAAAAAAAATGCCAAATACATTTCAATAATTTTATCAAAACACATTTTCAATGAATATCAACATTATTTTGTAATTGGGTAAATCTGGCACAGCTCTTTTGTAGACAATCCAATTATGTCCTGAGCCATAAGCCTTGGGACATAATTGGATTGTCTACAAAAACTGATTTCATTTGAAACATTTCATGTTGAAAGTTATGTCTATCTCTAAGACGTTTTTGGATTATTTTATACTGAACCCAATGCCTAAAATTAGAATACTGGACTAAAAATACAAGTTTGCTAAACTTCTGTTTTCCCAAAGGTAACTAGGATAAATAGTTTGACAGACTTTCAAAACTGGGGAAATAAGTTATAGGATATTCAGCCAAAACATAATCATGCTTCTGTTCTGTATTTCAAAGGTCAAATAGTTTTTTTTCTAACTGAAGCAAGTATTTTTAGCTCATTTTCTTCTGTAATAATACAAAAATGTGGTAGCTTTTCCCATTGAGCTTGTAAATCTTAGCTAATCTGGGACACATTGGAATCAGAGGTATCTGCGCTATAAGTAAAACCAAGGATCCCAGTTTGTTCTGGAGGAAACTTTCCAAGGTGGTTCATAAAAGAAAACATGAGTTTGCCTGCTTTATTTAGTGGACTTTTATGGAACCAAGACCCAGCCGTAAGCCATTGACCTTTCTTACATTTCTCTCCTTTCATGTAAATAGCAATATAATTTCCCAGAGGGCAAAAAAGATGGTAAGATCATGTATTTTTGGTAGTTAAGGTATTTTGGCCTTACATAAAATTGATACCTTGGTCCACATCATTTAGAAAAATAATGAGAAAGGCAGTAAATGTCGTAGTTTGGAAACACTAAGGACAATTTTAGTTCTTTTTAGTTTTTAGAGTATCCAAGAGAAATGAAAGCATGTATCTACACAAAGCTAAAATGTAGAAACAACCCAAATTTCTGTCAGCAGATGAATAGATGAGCAAATTTAATATATTCCTACAGTGGAATACTGGTTAGCAATAAAAAGGAATGAACTGTGGATATAACATGAATGAATCCCAAAATTACCACACTAAGTGAAAAAAACATGCTGTATGATTTTATTTTAGAAAATTATATAAAATACCAACTAATCTATAATGACAAGAAGTGGATCATTTGTCTCTGAAGGTAGGAGCAGGGGAGTTGAGAAGTACCAGGAGAAAATTTTGAGGAGGATTATCTTTAAAAAAAATTTTTTTTTGAGATGTAGTTTCACTCTTACTGCCCAGGCTGGAGTGCAATGGCACAATCTCAGCTCACCGCAACCTCTGCCTCCTGGATTCAAGCACTTCTCCTCCCTCAGCCTCCCAAGTAGCTGAGATTACAGGTGCCCACCACTATGCCCAGCTAATTTTTTGTATTTTTAGTAGAGACAGGGTTTCTCCGTGTTGGTCAGACTGGTCTTGAACTCCCAACCTCAGGTGATCCGCCTGCCTTGGCCTCCCAAAGTGCTGGGATTACAGGTGTGGGCCACTGCACCCAGCCGAGGATGTTTATCTTGACTGTAGTGGCAGCTTCACAGATACACACACATTTCAAAACTCATCAATTCATGCACTTTATGACTTATTGTACATCAGTTTAAATATCAATAAAGTTTTTCACAATTTACTGGGAATATCTGATCAGTTGTGTTTGCTGTAACTAAAAGTTTCAAAACTCAGCTGAATATTCATACCTTTAGTATGCTATCCATAATCTGCATATATGTTATTTGTATCATTGGCCTTGTTACATTATACAGTCATCCCTTGGGTGATTGGTTCCAGGAATTCCCCTTGAATACCAAAATCCTCAGATGCTCAAATCCCTCTTATAAAATGACATACTATTTGCATGTAACCTGCATACATCCCCCTATATACTTTAAATCATTTCTAGATTACTTAATACAATGGAAATGCTATGTAAAGAGCTGTTATACTGTTATAACTGTATTGTTATACTGTATTGGTAATAATGACAAGAAAAATAGTCTGTACATGTTCAGTACAGACACAACCTTCCATTTTTCTTCTCTAATATTTCGATCCATACTTTGTTGGCTCCATGGATATGAAAGGCTGACTATATTTTTCATGCGATATTCTTCTCTATTTGATTAATAATACACACACTCTCCTGCCACCAGTAAGTAGAGTGGCTTTTTTTTTTT